CTTTTATAAAGTTCATGACAAATTTCTTTATACCATATGCGATTAATATAAATACAGTCATTTAGATCTTCTGTTGGCATTTTTTGGACGATTTTAGCGATGGTTTCTGAAAGTGTAAATGGGTTGAATATATGCATGTTATATTGTATATATCAAACGTGTGGGTTTTATTAACTAAGACTTTTTATTCTTTTAGAATTTTGTATGATATCTTGATTTTATATCAAGTTCTTCAACTTGAAGTATTTTGTGAATGTTTTTTTTATTTTAAAGAAAAAAAATATTAACTATGTATACATCTGGATCACCACTATGATCTAGACTCTATGATTTCGGTTACAAAGAAGACAAGTAAGGCGTACATTCTCTTTAATATGCCCCAAACTATTGTGAATTCGATCTACTATCTTCTGAAGTATATCTTCTGGCTGATCCTATTCGAATTTCATTTTGATAAGACATGATGCATATTTGTCTTCTTGAATACATTTTAATGTGAGGATATAGTTAACTGTTAGATCAAATTCACGACCTTTTTCTTTGTTCTGGCCTATATATCTGATAAGTTTTTTCTAAATAGACGGTCTCAATTTGTACTTTAGCCATCTTTTCTTTTTTGTCTCCTTAATCTTTTGGGCAATTTCAGAAGGTAATGGAGGTGCTTCAACCCGAATGAGTTAGTTTAAATATTCCACATAACCAACTGCCAAATATATTAGATTATCTCAGGCTAAGTTTTCATCAATAATCTAAATATACTGTGGTAACTTAAGAGTCATCCCTGACTAGTATGAATAGTCATAGCATATCCAAGTTCCCAATCTATAACTTTTTTATCTGCCAATATATCTTTTAAGAATTTGTCAGAAAGTGTATTTAAGGATAAGTATACTATGTCATTTTTTACTAACTCCTTCTTTTCAGATAGGCCAGAGATCTGGACTCCCAGAAGAGTATTTTGCAAGTCTTGACCCTCTTCCTACTAATATTACTAACCTTTACCCAGCTGTCAGGAATC